GCCTCAGACACATAACACTCACTAGCTATGTGACTCTGGGCAAGTCATTTAACCTCAATTGCCTCACAAAAAATAAAAAATTTTAAAAAAAAGTGCTGAAGGGGTCATGAGTAAAAAAAAGGTTAAGAAGCCCTGTCTAAACCCTTCCTCAAAGATGAGTCTCTCAGCTATCTTCCTTTACAAATGACCATTCAACCACAGCCTAAAAGCTCCAGTGCTGCTAAATCCATTTCTGGACAATTTTAATTAGTAGGAAGTGTTTCCTTATACTGAGCTGAAATCTGTCTCCTAGAACTCATACTCACTGTCCCAGTTGTCCCTCTGAGGTCTTCTGAGCAAAGTGAAAAATAATCTAATCACTTTCCTATATTAGCTCTTCAAAAGATTGAAGACACTAATTGTGGCCAAAAAAAAAATCTTCCTAGTTTAAAACTCCCTATTAGCTTCAGTAATCCTTATGTGGAATACATATGGAGTCTCCTCAGCACTCATTTTGCCCTCTACCATTGCTGCTCAAGTTTATCTAGATCCTTTCTAAAATATTCAGATATTTAAAAAATATACAAGATGGTATTTGACAAGGACCTCACTCAACAGAACTCTTCTGGACACCACAAAGCCATCAGTCAGCTTATCATTATTAGCTTTGTTGATCATCATGTAATAATATTAATTCTTACTAAGCTCACAATCCACTGGAACCTCCTTGTTCTTTGACATTTAATCTGCTTCCCACCTATATCTTCCCGTAAGTATGGGATACTATTGGGACTTCGGAGTAGATATGTTCAGCAAGCACTTGGTGATATAAGGGAGAAGTTCATGAGACTGATTACTGGAGAATATATAGATTTGGGAGTCGTATGCTTGGTATGATCATTGATCACATGGAATTAGATAAGTTCACCAAGAAAAAGGGTTACCGAAAGAAGTGAGGAGTGATGACACAAAGAGCTTTGAGCGACACTTCTAGAGGATAGTGACCAGGTGCTATAACAGCAAAAAAAAAAAAAAAAATCACTAAGAAGGAGTGATCAAATGATTTTGGTTCATTTTGTCTCCACTGTTGCATTTTTGGGCAAGAAGTGATGATCCATAGTTCCAAAAATTCCAGAGAAGCCAAGAAAGATGAAGTGAGAAAAGAACATTGAATTTAGCAGTTGAAAAATGGCTGGAAATCTTGAAAAGAGTAGTTTCTGTGAGAATTAAGAATGGATCAGTACTGAATCAGTGGAGTTCAGTAGTAAGATGGAGAAGAGATCCAAGATAATAACTTGAAGGAAGGGACAGGGTCAAGAGAAAGCTGTTTTAAGGTTGAGGGAAATATAGGAATCTCTGAAGGTAACAAGGAAGAAGCCAGTACAAAAAAAAAAAAAAAAAAAAAAAAAAAAAAAAAAGATGAGTAAGAGGCAAAAAATCCTCACCGGGGCACAATCCCAGAAGAAAAAGGAAGAAATGGTACCCAAGATATAAAGAGAAGAGTTAAATAAGCTTGACAAAGGAAAAGGGAACCTCCTCCTCAAAGATTATAACAAAAGAGGCTGAAGATGCACAGGAAGGTCACCTTTGGGAAATTATAGGAAATACTTTTGAATATTGAATAATAACTGCAGAATTAATATATACTTCCATTTTTTATAACATAATACTATAAATCAAGAAAACGATACATATATATTAAGCCTAAAAAACAAGTAAGCCACTGAATCACTGAACAGTCATTGGATAAATTCAGCAAGAGCTAGCTGGAATTTATAAAATCAAATACAATCAACCTATAAAGCAATCAATAGTTCAAGTTGTCTCATTGTTCCATTATCATTTTTAATATCAAAAGATAATAATAAATTTATCTGCTCCATATCAAAAGAAAATAAATAAAACATTAGAAATAAAATTCTCCAGTGTTCTCATTTTTTAAGTTTTTTTTGCATTAAATGAAATCTATTTTTTTGTCCTTCCCACCTCCCATCCCATTGGAGAGAAAAAAGAAAAACAAATTCCTTATAACAACTATGTACAGCCAAGCAAAACAAATTCCTTCACTGGCCATATTAGGTCATTTCTTCAAGAAAATAACACCAGGAAATGTGTCTTTCAATCATTCACCCAACAAAAGATATTCAGTATCACTAATTTCTTTTAATATGATTTTTGCTATAAGCCAGCAGGCAGTAAACAAGAGCTCAAGGACAACTGATTATTGGAGCAGGAAGCAAGCACATCTCTTCTAAGATACCCAGCAAAGGTTGAAACAGACTATTTCTTAATTCTATTACAATAAATTGTCCAGTATGTACCTAAATCACTCATCTGCTAGCCACACAGTAACTTACAACCTTAAGTTGTGTTTTTCTGGGTAGCCTTCATATTTTTATACATATATAATCCCTATTTTCCCAATTGTTTAAGTCACCCAGAAGGTACATATTAGTATCACAGAACTCAACAGAAATTCTCCTTTACTTCTATTTATTGTGAACAAGTGTCTCAGTACTAACTAGAATACTTGTTCATCTAGACATCCGTGAAACATAATAGGTACGCAAAGCTCAGACAAGAAATTGAGAATCTCTTAGATACATTTTTGGATGACTCATTCTACATTACTCAAACACACATAAGCTAATATTTTTACCACTGTATCTGATTTCCTATAATATGGATATGGATCTATGGATCATGGATCTAGAGCTGAAAGGAACTTTAAAGTATACCTCGTTCCCTCCCTCATTTTACAGATGAGAAATGGTGGCTCAAAGTGATGAGTACTTGCCAAACAATACAAAAGTAATAAGCAGAAGTGGGATCTGAACCCACACTCTCTAACTGCAGAGATAGTGGCCTTTCTATTGTATCAAGTCATATGGCATTCTACAGTTTACAAAACCTTTTTTCACAATTCTATGAGATTAATATTGCAAATAAGCATTATCACTATTTGTTAGATGAGAAAACTCAAGCTTTAAAAAGGTTAAATCATTTTTCACAGGTCACATAGCTACTGAATATGAAAGCTGACATGCAAACAGGGGTCTCCAAGCCCATTGTCATGTGACCTACCTTGATTCTGATACTTTTAGGTTGGAAATGTCTCAGGAATTATGATAGAAAAATGTTAGTATTTTCACTAATGACTTGCTCTCTAACAGACAATCATCACTCAGTCAATGAACATTTATTAAGCACCTACTATGTGCCAGGCACTAGGAAAATTTGGTTCCATTTCAACTGAAAAGTCTCCTTTTCCTAGAGGGGATAAAACAATTCATCACCAATAAGATACACAAACATCCTCAACTCCTTTTCATTCACCGCACAGATCAAATGGTTCCAAATCCTGTCATTTCTACCTCCACATTATTTCTTGCATACATCCCTCTTTTCTCCATCAACACAACCACCACCCCCATTCAGGCTGCCATTACCTCTCACCTGGATGGTGAGGCAATAGTCACCTATTAGGTCTCCCATGCCTCAAGTCTATTGGTTTATTCCAATCTGCTCTTCACATGGCCACCACAGTGACATTCACAAAGTGTAAATCTGACCATGTCATTTCCCCTACTCAGTAATTCCAGTGACTCCCTATTACCTCTAGGATCAACTCTACTTTGGCATTCAAAGCTTTTCCCAATCTGGCACCTTCCTACCTCTTCAGGCTCCTAACACATTACTTACCTCAACATACATATTCTACAATTCAGCCCCACTGGCTGACTTGCTAATCCACGTGTATGCCACTTCAGCTTCTAACTCCTTGCCTGTGGTTTCCTCTTTTTTCACCTCCACCTCTTAGAATTCCCAGCTTCCTTTAAGAATTAGTTCTATTGTCACTGTCTGAAGCAAGCCCTTCCTGGTCTCCTTGCTGGGACTGCCTTCATAGCCAAGACTCTCTTCTGTTTGCTTTCTGGGTCTTCTTATGTTTGACTCCCCTCCATATACTAGACTACCCAGCACCAACGGCCTTCTTGAGGCACCTCAAAGACCATGTTCCATCTCCTGACTCTGTGCCTTTCCACTGGTGGTCCTTCATGCCTGCAATGTTTTCCCTCTTCACCTCCACCTCTTGGCTTCCTTCAAGAATTAGCTCAAACAGGAACTTACAAGCGGTCTTTCCTCATCCCACAACAGTTAGTGTCTTCTGTCTGATTTGCTGCAGTTGGATGCATTGTAACTTGACTCTGACATGGCGATGTCATTTTGGTCCTCTTCAAGAACAAAAGACAACCAACCAACCAACAGCTCTAATATATGTAACTGTCTGAGCACTGTCTACCCCATTAGAACATATTCCATGAGAGCAGAGACCTTGGTTTCGTCTTTGTCTTTAGCATTATGCCTTGCACAAAGTAAGCACTCAATAAACGCTTGCTGACTATGGATCTTGTATATGTACTAGCGTCTGTCCTACATTGTAAGATCCTAGGGGGCAAGGATTGTTTCACTTTTTTCTTTATGTTTCCAACCTTCAGCATAGTCTCTGGCACACAGTAGTCATGTAATAAATGTTTGCTTATTATTGATAAATACATAAAAATACTTACTTCTCCTGCACTGTATTTTTGCCTTTTTTTTTTTTGTGAGGCAATTGGGGTTAAGTGACCTGCCCAGAGTCACACAGCTAGTGAGTGTTATGTGTCTGAGGCCAGATGTGAACTCAGGTCCTCCTGACTCCAGGGTCAATGCTTTATCCACTGCGCCATTTAGCTGCCCATTTTTGCCTATTTTAACCAGCTATAATGAAAACTATATATATAAAGCTAGACGTAAAACTACATATAAAACTATATGTTGTTGTTCAGTTGTTTTCAGTCGTGTCTGACTCTTCATGACCCCATTTGGGGTTTTCTTGGCAAAGATACTGCAGTGGTTTGCCATTTCCTTCTCCTGCTCATTTTATAGATGCTTACGGTCACACAGCTAATAAGTGTCTGGGGCCAAATTTGAACTCAGAAAGATGAGTCTTCCTGACTCCAGGCCTAGCACTCTATTCACTATGCCACCTAACTGCCCTCTTAAAGCTATAAAAAAGCTGTATTTTGAATAAGCACAAATCAGTAAGACCTGAATTAAAAACCTGCCTCAGACATTTATTAGCTGTGTGACCCTGAGCAAGTCATTTAACTTCTGTTTGCCTCAGTTTCCTTATCCACAAAAGGAGAATAACAATAGCATCTACTTTCCAGGCTTAGGCTTATTATAAAGATAAAATGAGACATATTCATAAAGAGCTTTACAAATCTTAAAGCATTATGTAAATGCTAACTATTATCATTTTACTTCTAATTAACTAGTTGCATAAAGAAAGGTATCACCCTTTGGTATTTTCATGCAATCCATAATTACTGCTATTTTTTTGTACAAAATCCACATATTACCTTCCAGACTGCAGTTTCTCACACTTCTTAAAATTTTAGCCATCTCCAAAATCAAAGTAGGTTTTGTGCCAAATATACATAGGAAGAAGATTTTATTCTCAACTTTTTCTCAAGAAGGTTGAAAAAGAAGAAATATCAACATTCTCTATATGCTGTCAACTTTATAAAAAGCCAAAACATGGCTTTCCCAAATGAAAATTAACTGGCAGAGCAATTAAAGTAATCTGTTCATTTGGATGGAAGCATTTGTAAATCAATACTTGAGGAAAGAAGTTAAAATTCTGAGTAACAGAAAGAAAACACTGTCATCACACCTGGAAGGATCATAGATGAAAAAAAGAAGGGACTTTCCTGATATTCCACATAATCCACCAACGTCCAAAGAAATCAATGAAGTGATGTGACTAATGACTCCAAAATTTATACTTATGTTCTACTGACCATTATTTTTCTAATTGTCCTCTTAAAGGAGAAATTAATGGGCAGGGAAATGGTCAAAAGAAAAACAAAGGATGAGGCACCTAGATGGCACAGTGGATAGAGCAGTGGACCTGGTACTTACAAGCTATATGATGTTGGGCTAGTCACTTAATCTCTGTTTCCCTAAATTTCTTCAACAAACACTCACCTCCCAGGGTTGTTGTGAGGGTAATATGAGATAATTTTGATAAAGCATTCAGCACAATACCTTGCACACTATATTGCTAGCTATTATTATTAGCTATTATGAGAAACGAAGAGACACAAACTGAATAGGAAAAAGAAAATATAGCTATCTACTAAAAAGAAAACTTATAAATGAGAATTAGAAAATTATTTAAAAATTATAAATTATAAAAAATAAATCGTAAAACTTAAAACTTTTTTAATCAAAAAATAAATTTTACAGGATGAAATAAAATAAAATCAGCTCTGCAGGTAGGCTTTAAACTAGTTATGAAACTCAAATGTAAAATGTCCCTACAAATTAAGTACAGGTAGCAAAACCTGCCACCCACTGTTACTGTTAGCAATACTGCCATGATTCAGAGTTCAGACTAAGTAATTATTCATTAAATCATGAGTAAATCTGCATTCTAAAACTATTAATTTTATAAATAACTTTTTTGAAGAACAGTGTGGTATGGTGTATATAAAGATGTATGAACAGACACACATACATGAGTGTACACAGATATAGAGAGAGAGAGATGAGTGTACAAGTGTGTATATACAAAGGTGTGTGTGTGTATGTATGTGTATGTATACACTATTTGTGTGTGTTCTCTCTCAAGCACTTATTAAGTGTGATTGATAGCAAGGCACTATATTAGGTGCTGGGGATATGCAGTCTATGCTTTCAAGGGGCTTAACCACATGTATACATAGGTAAGATTTGCCTATGTATACACGTTTGGCATTAGGTACACATTTGTCAATTGGATAAGAAGAAAAGGGTTTTTTTTTCCCCAAAATGTTATTTAAACAAAAAAATCCAGCCATGAAATAAACTTTTATTCAACTTTCTGAACTCTACTTCTTTTTCTTTTTTAAGGCAATTGGGGATAAGTGACTTGCCTAGGGTCACACAGCTAGTAAGTGTCAAGTTTTTGGTCTGATGCCAGATTTGAACTCAGGTCCTCCTGACTTCAGGGCTGGTGCTCTATCCATTGCACCACCTAGCTGCCCCATGAACTCTACTTCTTAACATTAATACTTGATCTACAAATAAGGAAATATAGGCCCTCAGAAAAATGCATTTTCATTTTCACCATAAGTAGTTATAAGAAAATGACATTTAGGCTCCTCCGAGGTTATTCTTTCCTCCTAGATGCCACTTAATAGTCCAGTCCAGTACAGTACAGTAGAGAATTCGAGTCTTTTTCCATCACTTATAAAGTCTTACAACCTTGGGCAAATCACTTAATTTCTCTATGTACTCATCTGCAAAAGAGAGATCGTAATATTTCTGGGACTAACTTCACAATGTTGTTATAAAAATAAATGAGATGACATAAACAAAATACACTGCAACCATACAGCATCATATAAATGCACTCCAACTGTCTACCAAACTGAATTATTCTCTCACAAGTCCCTTTGATGAGCAGTGCATGAATTTTAAGAATTTGCTTGACAAGACTGCCACCTGCTGGACCATTTTAAAACTGAAGATTTAATCAATTAAAGATTTTATCATTAAGAATAAGGATTCCTAAAAGTTAATTTATAAAACTCAATACAGTAACCTATTTCTATTCATATTCACATATTATTACTTTTACTCATTTTAAAATAGGACTAAATTGCAAAGGCAACAATAATGCTATCTACTGAGTATAATGGAGCACACTTTTCTGATTAGTTCAAAACATTAGGTATTTAAATTATCTCTAGTTAAGAAGGAACAATTTGTACATGGACAAATTGAGGCACTGAACCAGAAGATTTGTCATAGGACACAGTTAATGGCAAAGCTGATACTATAAACTAGGTCTCTTGACCATCCCAACCCACCAAGTTCATGTGTTTGTATACACATATACATGTGCATATAGATATATATACATAGCTGCAGACACACAAACATAATGCACACGTGTGCACATATATACATCTATGTGTACTGTGCCTACATGTGTATACTCACACACACACACACACGCGCGCGCATGCCTAAAACAATCTGGTTCATTTCCGTCCCAGATCTTCAGTTTTTAAATTCTCAATAAGAATGTAACTTACCTTTCAATTGCTAGTTCCTTGTTGGACAGCTGTTGCACTGTGATCACAACCTTCTTTTCAATTCCTTGTCTCAATTTGAAGTAAAATTTCTCTCTATCTTTAGGCACAGGACTGAAACGCACAAAATAACACGAATGAAATAAAACACATAAGGATGACCCTCTAAAAATTTAACTACATCAATCCATGCATTTTGCCAATAACGATCATATTTGTTAGACGAATACCAAGCACTCACTACTCACAACCTAAGCAGTATGGGTTCAATGGTTATACTTTAGAAAGCTCACACAAATAGGGTGGCTGCTATCAACAACTCTTTTTAATTGGATTCAAAAAGCTTGGTAGTTCATTCAGATAAAATTAATGAACTGAAACTATCAGAATAATATACATATAAAATTCACCTTTTCTATCTTCCATTATATATTGTGCCTTGTTCTTATACACTGCCTAATTGGCACTGTGTGCCTATTCATGCCCTCCACCACTTACAAAGGGATGTATCTTCCCATAGCTTAAAATGCAAACTGAAGTCACTATGCTTATTATTTTTTATATTCATAGTAGCTCACAATTTGCATAGCATTTGTGAGCAGTTCCCTTACAACAACTCTATAAGGCAGACAATACAATTAGTGATGAGGAACCTCATCATTAATTAGTAATTAGACAATACATTAGAGATGAGGAAATTGATGATCAGAAAAGTCAAGTGCCTTGCCAGTGGTCACATAGCTAGTAACTGGCTGAACCAAGACTCAAACAAGGCCTTCCGACCTCAAGTCCAAGGCTCAAGGCCATGCTGTCACTCACTGAAATATTTCAGCATTTCAGGGAGTGTGTGATCTCACTGATGGGGGTCTTTCTCCTACCTGAACATACTCAAACACAGCCTGTGTGACACTTACCATGGCTCTCTCTAACTACTTCATAGAGAGCTTGCTGGAGGCCTTCTAATCCTTTTAATATTCTGAAGATGCCAGAATAGTGCCCCGGCCATCCATCACCTATCCTTTAGTCTCTCAACATGACTGGTCAACAAGCCTCTAACACATCATTTTAAACACCAAGACAAATTAATATAATAGGGAAAAAATAATTCTCAAGATAAAAAGATAAGTCACATCAAAGAAAAGATGACATAGAACAGAATGCTAACAGAAACAAAACGTTAACTTGACAGAAAATTTACAAACTATAATAGGATCATCGTTTCCATCATTAGTGTTTCTGAGTCAACCATCAAAGAAGCTGTAAAACTTATTTTCAAAAGTCTACCTTTCAATTCAACATAATCCTGTACAGCAAAATTGGACAAATTTGCTTTGAATATGGAAACCAGACAGAATTTTTACCTTTTAAAGGAAAATTGACCCAAAAAAGTAGCATGTAACCACAGGGTATTAGATTCTAACCTTGAGCTAAAATACAAAAGAGTCTCAAAAGGAGCACAAAGAAAGACTGAATGTTTTTGTAAAAATAAGCTTCTCAAGTAAAAGATGAAGAAGGCATGGTAAGGTATCTTTGTCTAGAAAAGATCTGAGGATTTCAGGAGACCTGCAAGTAGGAAGGAAGTCAGCAATGGAATATATCAGCTACACTAAGAGAGGCACTGGGGTAAGGGGCAGGAGATGGGTGAGAGAAAAAGGGAAGGAGAAGGAAACCAAACAGAAAAAAAAAGAGTCTGGGGAAAAGGGAAGAAGAAGAGAAGAGCTAGTGGAAGAAAAGGAGGAAAGAAGTCTTTCTCAATGTCTCATTCTAGTGCCTTCCCTCTGATGATTATTTTCTATTTACCTCATACACGGCTTGTTTGTATACAGTTGTTTATTTGTCTCCATCATTTGACTAAGCTCCTCAAGGGCAAGGCCTATCTTTTGCCTTTTTTTTATCCCCACCTAGCACAGTGCCTGGCACATAATAGGCATTTAATGAATGCTTACGTGGCAGCTAGGTGGCACAGTGGATAGAACACCAGTCCTGAAATCAAGAAGACCTGAGTTCAAGGGCCCAGACCAAACACTTGACACTTACTACCATGTGACCCTGGGCAAGTCACTTAACCCCAAATGCCTAAAAATAATTTTTTTTAAAAAATATGCTTACTGACTGACCTGAATGAGAGAAGAGGAAGGGAAGAAAGGAAGGGAGAAACAGAGCACGGGGGAAAGATTGAGAAAAGGAACCCATGTCCTAAGTGGCCCCAAGATATTAGAGTCCTCAATCAATTGCAATGAAACCTAAATTTCTTTGGCCTTTAGGGTAAGAATGATATGTCTACATATTCTGGCAACTTATCCCTTAGCTAAGAGAGGTTGAAGGACTCAACTAAAGCTGTAGTCAAATTCTAGCTTGAACCTGAATTACAAGGAGCAAGCCATGTCACCAAAAACACACTGACCTTGGAGACAGGAGATCTGGTTTCAATTCCATTAGTCACTAGCTGGGTGAGTAAAGAGGAATCATTTAACTATTCAGAACCTCAGTTTTCTAATCAACTAAATGGGGTAAAATATGGTGTCCCAAAAGTCTTAGCACAGTTTTACACTCTGATAGCTAATAACACTTTCAAGACATTCATTATTAACTGCATGACCTAACTTAGAGGATTATTGTAAGGAAAATGTTTTACAAACTTCAATGTGCTCTATAAAAATGAGGATTTCTTGTCATACAGGCATCCAGAGATTCAGGAAAGAAACCAATTCAAAACAAAAGAAAAATAGCAAAAACTTTACCAAATGGAGTACCATTAGCAAGTCAGCAGTTAAATCCCAATGTGGTTAGCATGACCTCCATAGCTTACTGCTCTTCATTAACTACACAGTCTATACTTATGAACTGGGTCATCTCTTTTGCTACACGGAATAACATTGGTAGTTTTCATATTCACTCATCAAGACTGCAATAAGTATTTTGTTCTAAAACAAAATGCTACCCAACAATGTCATCGTATATTCGCTTGGAACAAGGAGATTTACTCCACACTTAAAAAAGGAAAAGACAGCAGCAAGTCACCTTCTCATACACCCAGACTCTGCCATCCCTTTCTTTTTTCACAATTATTCTTCATACCTAATTAACGATTGTCACCCTTCATCTATACTTCCTACCCACTGACCTTCTTGACACAATACACCTCAAACCTCTTAACTAAAAACAAGCATCATTATAGAAATCAAGCAAGAAGCTACTAGCTCAACTTTCAGCGATGTCCACTGACATCGCTTCCTCTTTTATATTTCAAGTCTAACTATGGATCACCTTTGATTCCCCTGATTAGTTTTATCCTCCCTTTTAATGTTTCTGAAAATTCTTTCATCTGAGGCAATGGTGGAACAGTGGATAAAAAGTGTCAGGTCAGGGTCAGAATTCAAATCCTGCCTCAGGCACTAATGACCTGTTTGACCCTCAGCAAGTCACTTAACCTCCGTCTGCCTCGGTTTCCTCATATGTAAAATGGGAATAATAATAGCACCTACCTCTCAGGGTTGTTGTGAGAACCAAATGAGATAATAATTATAAAATACTTATTAGCATAGTGCCTGGCACATAGTAAGTGATAGATGTATTTGTTAGCTAATGTCATTATCATCATCATCATCATCATCATCATCATCATCATTATGTCCTCTTTGCTTAGGCTGTTATTAGATTAGTAAAGAAACACAAAACATAAAATGTAATTTTCATGGCTTCCTACTAACTAGGAAGGAAAAAACTAGGCTCCCACAAAAATGCCATTTGATACTAAGACAGGAAGCAAAAAGGGGGTAAAAGGTCATTAAAAAAAGAAATATATACCTATTCAATCCAACATTATGTTGATTATGGGTCTGCTATATACAAAGGACTATCTTAGGCACTAAGGGCAAAAATGGAGAACAACATAGGCTCAGTATTAGGAAGCTTAGTGTAATACAGGGAAAACATGTTCAAAGGAGGAAAACAGAGCACTCTAAGAATAATGAGAAAGAGGAAATTATTTTCAGTTAAGGGGATCAGAGAAAGTTTTATATAGATCACGTGACCCAAAAAGGGCCTTGAAAAGAAGGATTTCATGAGAAGATGTAGAGGATGGGTGTATTCCACTCAGGAAGAACCAAATCACAAAAACCCACAAATTTTCAACGCCATTTTAAGGAATTGTGCTGCCATTTTGCTTTTGGAACTTCTGCACTGGCTGCTCTTCTATTCATGCACCATCTTCATTCAATTTCCCAGTTTCCTTACCTGAAGTTTCCTTTTCCATCATCTTCTTTGACCTCCAAAGAGACACTGAAGGTAAATACATCACTGTCTGGGGTAGGGACAACAGAGTCCTTTACATCTGACACTTGCCTGGAAGAACGTTTAAATGCTGTACAAAAGCTGTATAAAATTCTGCTGACCTAAATGAAAGAATAAAGGAAAAACCATTGTCAAAACCAAAGCTTTACCTCCTTTCTATTCCCTCCCCTTAGAATACTTAGATCTACCTGTCTTTCTTTTTCTCCTACTCAGAAGGGTACAAGTGGTAAATTAAGTACAATTTCAGCAGACATGTTAGGAAGGACTAGTAGGATCTCATGTAGAATGCAGGATTAAAATATTAAATGGGATCATCCATAAAATCTTCTCCACCTCACATTCAGGGTTCCTTTCCAGGGTAACTCCAAAGGCACACTGAGGTACTCCACAGAACGGCCCCACCACCAGTACTGGCAGATTCCTCATTCACCTGGAAGCTGAGCAGTCCTGAAGAAAACACAAACCTCCTGCACCCCGCCCACAACTCAAAATGAATAATCCCCCGGTTTCCTCTGATGTTTAACAAGATTTTTACTCTTAGTTTGTAGCACCATAAAGTGAAAAGGGAAGCAATGCTGAGCTAGAGATGCTTCTTCCTTTGCAACACCATCTTGGCTCTCATACCTCTTTCCACACCACTCAATACTAACATAAAACTTCCTGTGTCTCTAACTTATTAGATCATTTTAATACATAAATTTATAGACTTTTTAGAAAAAGTTAGATTTATGTTATGCTAGGCAATAATAATGTTCCAAAAGTATTTTTGTTTAAAGTCTCTTAAAAACACCCTTAAAAGTATTTAAAACCAAGATAGTAAATTAAGTTGGTTGTTTACAAATTAATTGTCAAGTACTGAATGCCAAAGAATTAAAAAAAAATTGTAAAGCATCAGTGAAGGTAGAAAGGGGAAAAAAAGTCTAATAAAAATGGTAATATCCTTGCCCACTTCTACTGTGCTTTCCAGTATTTTGCTCTGCCTGAATTCATCTGGAGGTATCTAGGTGGCACAGTGGATAGAGCATCAGGACTGAAGTCAAGAAGATCCCAGTTCAAATCCTGCCTCAGCCACTAGCTGTGTAACCCTGGACAAGTCATGTAACCTGTCTACCTCAGTCTCTTCATCTGTAAAAGGGGGATAATAACAGCACCTCCCTCCCAAGGCTGTTATGAGGATCAAATGAGATAATAATTGTAAAGTATCTAGCATAGTGTCTGGCACATATTAAGAGTGATATAAATATTTGTTATTGTTGCTGTTGTTGTTAATTGGATTCCTTTATAATTGTAAAAGAGGTGACCAAGAATTTCATCCCCCAGCACAAAGATTAACTCTAACTCCTGACATCAAGTCACTTCTAGTGGGAATCGGCCAGTTTCTCTTTCTCACAGAGACTCAAAATCCTCTTCAGGAGGGTCTTGCAGGACTACGCCAAACCAGCTCTCCTCAGATACTTCTAACACAGAGGCCAAAAGGGCTGGGCCCAGAGACATCTCTACCAGCCACCTTTTCTTCTGCTGCTCTTAGGGTGTTCTGCTCACAGCAATGAGGCTGCAGCTGTTACTGAGGCTGATAAAAGTGTGGTCAGCTAATTTGGAGCAGACTGAGAAGCGCTCATGCTCACAGCAAGTTCTGATTCTATTAAAAGCTATTCTCTAGAAAACATCAAAACTTAGTCAAAGACTGCAAAGATACAAGAAACAAAAGTGATTAGAAAAAAAAACATTCAGCAATGCCCCTTCCAATGGCAATACAAACATGAGCCAACTGGTCAGTCAGCAAGCACTGTGCTAAGCACCAAGGATGCAAAGAAAAGCAAAAACGTAACAGCTGCCTTCAAAAGAGCTTACATTCTAACAGAGAAGAAAATATGTGTCTATATATACATGCATGTGAATATATGCATGCATGTTGAGAGTGTGCAGCTGCACGTGTGTACAGGACACATACAAAGCAGACAGAAGGTAGCCTTGGCAGGAAAGGCACTAGCAGACGGAGAGACCAGTAAAGATCTGCTGCAGAAGACGGCATTTGAGCTGAGTTTTTAAGGAAGTCAGGAATTCTAATACGTGGAGGTAAGGAGAAGGTACAAAGATTGAGGTGGAGTGATGTGTGAACAACAGTAAAACTGGGTATGGAGGTGAGAAAGAGGGGGGAGTCAAGGAAGAGAACCTCGTTGTGTACCTGGCTGACTAAAAGGTTGGCAGTGTTCACAAAAGCACTGAGGAACTTCAGAAAAGGGGAGGCTCTGAGGAGGGAGGAAAGATGAGCTCTGCTTTGGACAAACCGAGTTTGAGATGCATGTGGGATATCCAGTTCAAAAGGTCTAATAGGTAGATGGAAATGAGAGACTTGAGCTCAGAAGTAGAGAAATTAGAGAGAGACAGCCAGGCAGACAGACAGATATATGTACATATTTACTTGTTTATTTCTGAGTCATTTTTAAATAGATGAAAATTGAACCAAACCCACAACAACCGATGAGGTGTCAAGTGAAAATATAGATTTCTATATTCTAGAAATATAGAAAAAACAAGAGGGGCCAGAACAGAACCAGGCTTGAAAAATGCCCACAGTTAGGGGGCACGGTAGTCCCTACTTTGCCAGTATTCTTGCTCTCCTTTTGGGTAAGTCATAAATTTCTTGGCCCTCAGTTTCTTCACTTTTAAAACGAAGGAAATGGACACTCTAAGGTCCCTTCTAGCTCTAACATCGAGTGACACCTAAAATAAAGTTCGGGAACTACTTAATAACTGCTAATCTATGCTTATTCCTACTTCAAACACAAAGAATTTTATATTAGAGGTTAAAGACACAACCACAAGCCACGAGAGCTGCACAATACAATCATATATGAACTTCCTCTTAACAATCTGCATCGTACAATGTGCTTTTGGAAATGAAGTTATATACTGCTTCCAAAATGACTAAAAGAAGAACACAGCAGAGATAAAGGTTCCCCAAATTATGAATGTTATATACATCACAATTACATAAAATAGTGAAAACACATCCCTTTAATTTCCTTCTTCAACAATCTCTGACTCTTCAAGCACCAGACTCTTCCCATTTTGCCAAATCCATTTCAATGCAAGTAGGCTCCAGGAATCCAAAAATCAGACAGGTAGAAAAGCAACAGCTGCCGAATTTGAAATAACAAGCGTCTACCATCTTTTTTTCCTCCCTCTAATAATTGAGTATGTACAAATCAGAGATAGTTCTCACTTCTACACTCACTCTCTCTGTCTCTCTGTCTCTCTCTCTGTCTCTCTCTATCTCTCTCTCTCTCTCTCTCTC